TATCCTGTTTTAGCCGATCACATCTTTCCACATCCCACATCGAGCTTTGAAGAGGTGGGCATAAGCGAGGAGATGAAATATGATCTCATGAAAGAAATTGCTTGGCGACTTGCTCTACAATCTGTGCTAGAAGAAGAATAGCGAGAAAGGATGAGGAAAGAAGTTGTGGAGGATGACGAAAGTGAAGGAGAAGAAGTTCTTGATCTTTCACAAGGGGAGAAATTAAATTATGAGGAAGGAAGGGGGGTGGAAGATGCAGTTGTCGTCTACGCTGAGGACGAAGTTGCGGTGGAAGAGGCTTGCACTAGCCATGAGTTACATGTGATATCTCCACCCAACTTCGAGTAGCTGCTTGGCAAAGACCCATTTGCAGTGTCTCTTTGCCATACCAAGGCCACATCGACATCGGTCCCTCTTGGTGGACGTGGTGGTGGCCAATCGATGGTGTCATATCTGGTTTGGGGAAATGAGACAAGAGAAGAGAAGAAGAGGTCTTTAGGGTGGAGACTTCATCTGCCTCAAGTGCACGAGTCTTTATCTTTTATCATATCACCTGCTCGTGACTTGAGATTCCACCTCATTGACAAGAACCTCAACTTCAAGGAGGTTCTGGGGTGGATCGAAGCTTAGGAACCACTGTCCGGCTCACGACGTGAAAGAAGTGCTTGTTGGGAGGCAACCCAACCAGTTGGTTTGCATTTCTTTCCCTATTTTTCTTCGGTTGAGTGGTGTTTGTGTTCCGACTGCTCTCTCTACTCACCTGGAATTAGGGATGGCAATAAAACCCGAACCCACGGGTACCCACCCGACCCAACCCGGTCAACGCGGGTAAAATTCGTGTTGACGGGTTTTGGGCTGGGTTTGGGTTTAAACCAGTTCACTATTCACCGGGGTTGGGTTGGGTTTGGGTTTAGGTAAACCCAGCCCATGGGTACCCGCCCACACCCATATAATTAATTTTCTTGGCATATTTAATATTTTAAACAACTAATCTTATTTATGTTTGTGGAGATATGTCTAATTTTTTCTTTCTAGTTGTGTAGAATGAATTTGATGTTATCGAGTGGAGATTGAAAAACTTAATTGAAAGGAAGAAGCTTTCAATTAATCATGTTATTTATGGATAATTTGTGATTTGCTTCAATTTTCTTGAGTTTTCTAGATTGGTGTTGAACAATTTGTATAGTTAATTTGTGATTTGCTGGAATTTTCTAGAATGGTGTTTTATATATGGATAATTTGTATTGAAAGATTCATATTTGACGTTAATTTGTATAGGAACTTGTTATTGTGAATTTTTTACAACAAAAACCCGTGGGTACCCATGAACCCGCGGATACCCAGCGTGTTGGGTTGGGTTTGAGTTTTTCAAACCCAGTGGGTTTTACCCCGGGTTTTTTTCACGGATAAATCCATGGGTTTGGGTTTGGCAAAACCCGACCCAACCCGACCCATTGCCATCCCTACCTGGAATGCACCACTTGCCCCGTCCACCATCATTCTCATTTAATGTGGTAACTTCGTTCAACCCTCCTTATCTTTCCTCCATTGAGGACAATGTCATGCTTAAGTGTGTGTGTGTGTGGGGGGGGGGGGGGGGGGGGGCCAACCCTTTGCTGTGTGAATGTTTGGTTGTATGTGCGTGCTTGACAGTCTTTGTTGTAATATGCAACTTAGGGAGGTAGTTTTAGCACTATGGAGGATGACGATGTATAAGATATATCCTATCTTTCTCTTTGTTGTGCCAGTTGATTGTGTGAACTAGTGGACTTAGGACATTTGATTCATGTGGTATTGATGACTCCCTTTTTGTTGTGTTATGGAATCATGTATTGTAAAAGGGTTCTCAGTGCAAATGAAAAGCAGTTGGTCCTCCATGATTGGAAATTCTAAATTTGAAACATGGGGTAAGCCCAACGTGTGTGGCACCGTTCATTGCAAAAAATAGGGTTTTGGAAGATATTTTAGTGATCCTTAGTTGGGTAGGCCTACAAGGTGATGCTAAGATGTCTCTAGTACAAGTAAAAATTCCACCCGTTGAACGGTTTGCCTACTCGAGGATGTGTTTTTAAGGGCACGGATAGAGCATCCGACCCCCCTTAATTTCATTGCCCCTCCACACGAGTTGAGGGAATGCAGTTAAAAGAAGTACTCTGGCGAGTGGCAGATGTACAAAAATTGCTCTTGCTCAATCAATAAGGGTCGATCGTGCATTAAACTGCAGTTTGGAACCCCAGCAAAGTGAGAATGAGAAAAACAAAAGAAAAAGAAAACAAAGTACAATAAAGGGGTTCCAACGATTGAAATGAACTGAAAGAGCACCCGATACAAAGAGTCCTTGGTCGTTATGTGGGTGAGTCTCTTCATCCATGAATAGTCTATTCTAGTTCCACTGCTTCTCATGATCCTGGCTTGAGTCTAGTACTCGCACTGAGAGAAATAGGGCATCTCTTACAAAACTAGTTGACCTCGTAAGATGCTAAATTATCTAGGAAGTCATTTGCCGATGATCGTGGTTGCATGTTACTGTAAAGATCAGGAGAGTTGCATTGGTTTGGGTCAGGTTTACTTGGGGACAAGCAAACGGTTAAGTGTGGGGAATTTGATAACACCGAATTTGCACATTTTTTACCCCTTATTTATTGATAGTTTAGCTTGGTGTTCATCATACTTTGTACTATTTTATGCTAGGTTGTGTTCTTTTGTCACATTTCAGGTCCTAGCACGTAAAGTGAAGCGTAGGCGCAAGGTTCAAGTCAATCGGAGATCAATTGGCGAATCGGGGGAAGAAACTCATGCATGGCTCGAAGAAGAATGGATTTATAAATTCTTTAATGGACGAATAATAATGTAATATATGCATTGAAAGAAAGAGAACGAGACTAAGAGCGTCAGAGATCAAACGGCTATTGATTCGGAGTTCAGATGAGGGAGAAATGACCGAAAGACAGCAGCCTCTCTAGAGTTACGGGCTGGCCTTCAAAGTTACGGCCATGACCGTAACTTTGCCATTTTGGCCGTAACTCGGGGCCACGGGAGGCAAAAACATTCAAGAGGTTACATCCGGAACCCCAAAGGTTACCTCCACAACTTGATTTTTGTGAGCTGTATAATTGCGTTTTTTCCGGATTGTGAAGAGTGAGAGCTGGGTTTTGGATCCCAAACACCCAAGGGACGAACTCTAGAGAGAGAGAGCACCTTGAAAACATTCTTGGAACTATTTTGGAGGATTTCTTCACCATTGGAGCTCAGGAATCAAGCTTGGAGATGGAGATTGAAGATCTAGATAAGATTTTTGCGTTCTCTCTCTTCTCTATTTAGTAACTTTCCTTCACTTAGGTTTTGAGGAACCCTAGTTTTGTATGCTAGGAAGAGTTGTATGAACTCGAATTCATTATTGTTTGACGTTTTATACTCAATTGAGGCATTAATTTAGAATTACTTGTGTCCTTATCAAACTTTTGTGATTCCTGCTTTAACCTAGAACGATAGTCTCTGCATAGGTTAATAGAACAACCTTAATTGGAAGTAGTGGATAGATTGCTTTAGTCGAGAAATTGATTCCCTGCTCTGTACTGGAATCAAAGTCAGTAGAGGAAGTTTCGTGTGTTTTACCTTGGTTAGCTTACGTCGGTGGAGGTTAGTTGCGTGCCGGGTATTCGAACCGAGAAGGTCTGGATAACTTTAGTCGAGAGTCTAGACCAATTAAGAACTTTCCGCAGTATATCTGTCAACTGAATTGGATTGGGTGAATTAAAACTTGGCCTAACTGCAAACTAGGGGGAATCATACCTAAGTGTGTTCCCAACCTGTAATTAGTAGTTTTACATAGTTTAGTTAGTAGAGTAGTGGGAAATATATATTTTGGAAAGTGAACATAGTCCTAGTTTGGTAGTTGCAATTGTTTGAATTTATGTATGAATGCATGCATGCATTATAAATTGATGTATAGGTTAAATGGTTGCAGTTTAAGATTAGGCAAAATTCATCTGTGTAGGCAAAACTTTCACGTTTTTGACAATAATAGCCATTTTTGGCGAAATACCAAACATAGCCAAGATTTTGAAAGTTTCATGACAAATATAGCCATTTTCGTTATCTATTTTAACGGCGTCAGTGACACCGTTAGTCAATTTAGCGGAATGCTTACCTGCTGCCATCGACAACTCAACAACACTACCACATGGATGGCATGTAATATTTTAATTTAAAAATATATAAAAAGTCATAAATTATTTTCTCATCCTCTCTCCTCTCCCACCACTCGATGATGTCGTCCTTTCTCCTCTCACACCATCGTCGGCGTCTTGTGCAACTAGTCGGGTGTCGCCGAGAAGCAATGGCGACGCTCACTTCTCCCTTTGTTTTGTTCTAACTAGAGACGGAGTTGGCAAACCGATTGCCCGGAGCACTCATTGCCCACGACAACATACTGCAAAGCGAAGACGAGAGAAAGGTTAAAAACTCAGGCGAAAATAATCGAACAGATTCAGGGCAAGAAGATAAACCCTCACTTGGAAATACACTTATCCAAAACATACCAACGAGTAAAGAGCACAACAAAAGGAGTCTGAACCCTTCTTCCTCTTCCGTCGATTTTCCCTTCTCGAAACCTAAGTTTCAAAATAATCGCTAATAAAGCAACAAGTGCTCAATACAATGTCTCTCTTCCAAGCTGCAGCTGCGCCGCCACTCTCAGCTTGCATTACTGGCCCTGCATCCCTAGACCCAACAAATCTCCTTTCAGTTGAATGCATACGGAGAGAAGTCAGATTCGGTGATATTCATGGGTACAGACCATTGCGGTTATCACTTTTTTTTAATGGAGATTCTGTTGAAAGCTCAGAGCTCTTAGTCATGTTAGACACAGTTAAGTCCCTTTCTAGTTTTAACTGGACGTTGACTTGGGCGTCGCAACGGGATCGAGAAGTTCATTAAATATTGAGTTGGAAGTAAGTTGAATTTTCTATAGAAAAAAATTCAGCTTCGCATTAACAAATCCTCTATTTATCCCTATTCAGAATTTGTTCTTGATGTAAATCAAACATGAAATATCCAATCAACATGTGTAGTTGTAATAAAATTAGTTTCAAAAGCAAATAGACTATCAAATATGACAAATTTACTATGCGATAAAGAGAATTAATGATTGGAGTAGCATTTTTCAGTTTAATGTATACAACTAGTTACAGTTGTATATTGTACATTGTATATGTTTTCGAATTCCATTCACTACTACCCGTGTGTATTAAAAAATGACCAGATTTTTCGAGGTGTCAAAATATTGGTTGGGTGACCATATGAAGTATGAACAGTATACTCACTAAATTCTATTTCAAGAAGAAAGTATACTAACTAAATTTGGTTTGGATAACGTGGGTAGTCAGTTTTAGGACTTTGATACGTTGACTTGCAAGCCACCGTAACTTGCACTTTTGGGTCGACTATAGTTAGGATTAAGTTGACCTAAGCTGATGTTTCAGTTTTGTGAGGCTCACTAACGTGGTCAAACATTTACATCAAATGGTCGATCTCTTTGGAAAGCCAACATATGAAAAGGTCAACCCAAATAAGTCAAAGGCCGACCATTTCGGTACTAATAGGTTGACCTCAACAGTCAGAAGGTCGACCTCTGTGTAGTTCACTGATTAACATCAAACTTAGGATTATTTAGGAAAATAGTATAAAAGGTTGACCTGACAAGTACAAGGTCGACCGCATGCACACCGTATCCGTATTGGATAAGGATTCTAACACTAGAAAAGGTAACACTAACTTGTCTACCACTTAATTCAACCCAATCTCCTCCTAAATTTCTATCAATACGAGTATATGTCACCTTCACTGCCACCCAAACCCTGAATTAGGTTTTTTTTTGTACGGTTAGAGATTTTGTGAAGAAGATCCTTTGCGGTTGCTTCTGTACTTGTTTCAAGAGGTCGACCATGTGGGAGGTGAGGTCGACCTAATTTAGCTATCGTCGTCATCTTGTCTAATGTGTACTTTTCACTGTTTAATTTGATATTTTGTTGCTTGCAAAAAACCATTTGATCGACCCTTATCTCAATCAGGTCGGCCTCGGCTTGATAATTGCTAAAAATTGAATTAGGGCACAACACTCGAACTTCTGTACTTGCGAGGCAAGGAAGATCAAACCCAATAGGTCGACTTAATTTTTATCAAGGTCGATTGTTTCTGTTTGTTTATCCGGAGTGTCGACTTTGGCTTTGTTTGTAAGACTATGTTGTGCTTAAAAGGTCGGCCGGTCAATGTGTCTGGTCGACCTATCAGTAGTTCGTGGTAGTATTACACATGTTTTTTTTTATAAATTGTTTTTTTTTGTTGGATAGGGCAATCTAGGAAGAGCAAAGGTCGACCTAATTGGTTCTGGTAGTGACAAATTATGCCTTCAAGGTCAACCTAATGATAATTCAGGTCACGTCTTTAGATTGTTTAGACGATGGCGCATGATGAGAAACAAGAACACGATGAGGGTGAAATCATGAAAGTGTTGAAAGCCACACAAGAGCAGTTGGTGGTGTGTCAAAAATAATTCAATGACTATCAGAAGTCCATTCGTGATAGACTGGAGCAATTGTCAATACGATTGACAGATATGACAGGGATGATGCATGATGGTTTTGAGAGGCTAAAAGATGTTATCAAAGAAATACGTGCAGAACGAATGAAGAATAAAGGAAGAGATGGTACGAGAAAGAAATTTGACTTTGATGAAGAGGAGGAAGACCATGAAGAGAATAGACGATTTATTGAAAGACCACAAGTTAAAGGTAGGCAAGTATATTCATATGTGAGTGAAGATATTAGTATTACTATCATTAGTGCTAATTTGTTTTGTTTATATGATTGACAGAGTGAAACAATGTTTGGCAGCAAGGGTTCCTCTCCTTAGTACAAGAAACCTCTATATGAAAGTGACTCCTACACCACTCCAGAATGATCATTTAGTAAGAAAATCATTATTTAGTGCTGATAGCAATGAAGATGAATCTAAGAGTCATTTCGAAATGCACGGAGTAAGTTTACGTTACATATGCATCTATAATGTGTGTTTGTTTTCATATGTAACTTTCATTTTAACTATGATTTGTAGGTCATGAAAGTGGAGGGCCTAGAAGGATTCATAAAAAATCTACAAAATCCAGTGAAAACTTGTTTTATGTTGTTACTAAAGAGAAGGATGGAGACACGAATTTGGACAAGTAAGAGACGTATTATTTTTTTAAAGTAGTATACATGGTTGACCATTTAGAAAATGAGGTCGGCTACGTCTTCCTAATTAGGTCGACCTTGTCTGTGAATAGGTCTACCGATACTATGCAAATCACAATTGATATTTATGTTATTTTGGTTTTTGAAGTTTGACCGTTGTTGACTTTTTTAACGAAAACGTGCAACGAAAATATCTGAGTTTGGTCATTAGCGAGAGTAGATGGATTTTCTCATCCATAATTACTATACTGCCAAATGCCTGAATGTCTGAAAAATATGACAATAAAGAGGCAAATGTGTGGTATTTGCCAAATATGTTTTCGGTAAGAGCCGTAATTTTATTTATTTGTCATAACCTAGTTATTAATATTGTACCCTGTCAATTAATCTCAATAAAAATATGGTGTAGAAAATGGTACGCACTAACATGAAGACCGGACAAATTCGTAACAAGTTGATGGATGATGGCGTGGTGTTTATGCCGAATATTAGTGCATGTCAGAAGGTTAGTCAATGTCCCTATCTCATTAAGCTTCCAAAGTACATTTGTTTGTATTCGCTTTTTATAACATATAGTGACTTTTTCGTTGCTAGATATTTATGCCAAGTTTGGATGATGAATCACATCATTGGTTTCTGTATCTCGTCAATGTACAACAAAAAACCGCAATTTTGCCTCACGGTCTACCTTCAACTGGTGAGGCATGTCATAAGCGTAAATCAAACCTCTGCAAGAAATTGCTAAGTGTTCCTATAATTGTATGACTACTAAGTGTCAAGTATACTGCTAGAAGCATATAATATTCGTTATTTGTGTGTAGCTGTCCAAATTGCATGATATTTTCAAACTGGAGCGCATGAGCAATGTAGCAGTACCAAATTTTGTAGATTCCCATGTTGAAGAGCTATGCTTTCAAGAGAAAAGGAATAGTACTGAGTGTGGTGTGCACGTCATGTAGTGGATGCGCTATGGATCCAAATATCTGGACAGAGTGGTTAGTATATCGTCAAACAAAAAACTTGTTTAAATTTGTATCTTTATAGTTCTAACAAAGTCTTATATGCCATAATGCAGATAGGGGAAGAACACAAATTACCGATTCGAAAGGAGATTCTATGGTATCTAGCTACAAATTTTGGAAACCGTGCACGAGAAAATCTTTTTAAGCATGTAGTAAATGAATGCATGAAACGAGGCAAAGAGAGGAAGAGTTCAAACAAAAAAGCAAATAAATGAATTAAGTAAGTTACAATGTTGCATTATTTATACAATATGTTAAATTTAGATTTGCGAGGTTGTTTCCTTTTGGATATTCAATGTTTTTCGTTTATTTGATTAGTTATACAATGATAGATTTCAAGGAATTTAGGATTTGAATCGTTTACTAAAAGAGTTCGACCACAGAATTAAAGAGGTCGACCTTGTAGGCAGAGCACAGGTAGACCTCGTATGCTTACGGTCGACCTATGATACCTTTACTTAGCTCCGAAACAATGTCGAATAAGGATTCAGTCCTGTCGGTTTCTCCTCTAGCAAAAATGGTCGACCATTCACGTAAAGAAGTCGACCTAGATGGGTCGAATTAGCTTATTGTGTACTTCTCCTTGTCCTATTAGGATTTTGCGTACTTGTCCTTGTCGAATTAGGATTTTATGTATCCTTGACTAATTGGGATAAGTGTTCCTCATACTAGTAAGGATAAGGTATTCGTCTGTATTCTCTATAGATGGAAGTCTTAAGACTTTCATCATACTTCGATTTATGCAATTTGTTGGAGTGAAGTTGTAATCTCATCGCTCTTATTGTGATCGTGTGTTGGTGGCTGTTTATTCTTAGTCTGGCCGACCTTATAACTATCTGGTCGACCTTGTTTCATGTGTGCTGGTTAACGGTTCTCTGTGGTTCACTTTTTCCCTAATTATGTCGACCACCTAAACTCCCACGGTCGACCGCATCTGTGTAATTTTGTGATTATGTCGACTGTACAATTGATCCAGGTAGACCCGACGAGACCTAATTTCGATTTTATTTAACATAAAATTTGTATTCCGATCATTGTAGGATGGATAATAGAGATGATACTGATGATAGAGATGTTGAAGAGATTAACGTCGATGAGGAAACTGAGGATGCTCGAGGAGGACCTTTGGATAATGAAGATGATATATATGATACTAATGATGAAGTGATTAGGGACGATGAGGAAACTGAGGGTGCCGAAGAAGAATTTATGGATGATGAAGAAGCTACTGAATATGAACAACAAATTCTTTCCATGGAGTTTCAAACATTAGAAGGTGCATAGAAATTTCATGATGCATATGCTAAAGCAAAGGGTTTAGCGTTCGACGTAGAGATCTTAGGACAAATCGTAGAGGAGTCGTTACTAGGAGGAAAATGGTATGTTCGAGGGAGGTAATTAGAATGAAGAGGCATATAGATAAAGAAGGTCGGATACAGAAACATCATGAGATGGCAAGATATTCTTGTTTGGCATCCTATAATGTACGCTTTGATCCGGGGAAGAGAGTATGGGTTGTTTCTAAGTTCGAGAGGAAGCACTCACATTGTTGCTGCAATGAAGAAGAAATTCAATTTCTTTGGTCTCATCGAAATGTGAGTGAAGGAGACAAGGCATTGGCGATAGGGATACGACACTCAGGAATAAAACAACGCAACATTGTTCAGTTCATGAAGGATAAGGTTGGAGGATATGAGAATCTGCGGTACACTCCAAAGGATTTGGATAACGCTGTACATAAATCCTGAAAAGATGACGACGATCTAATAGGAGACGTGAGCCAAACATTGGGTTACTTGCAAAGTAGACATACTTTGGATGTAGGTAGCTTCTACAAGTACACAATCAACGATGAAGGTGAATTAAGCAATCTCTTTTGATCGGACTTCACATCTAGAGCAGATTACCATTTTTTGGGGATGTCTTGGCATTTGATGCATGCTACAAGCGCAATAAGTACAATCGGCCATTTTTTATGGTGGTTGGTGTGAATCACCACCACCATAACATCATATATGGTTTTTCCCAGTTGGATAACGAGACAATCCCCAACTACGTTTGGTTGTTGAATACTTTTCTGGACTATATGAACTCTAAGATGTCGACTTCAGTGATCACAGACGGATGCAAGTCTATGTGTGGCGCCATTGCTACTGTACTAGTTGAAGTGTCTCACTGACTATGTATTTGGCATATTGAGACAAATGCGACAACGACTGTTCGTAATAGAGAGTTCATTTGCCCACCCACTTGGCCAAAAACACGTATATCAACTGAGGAGTTTGAGAGGTGATGGGAGCTTTTGATTACTGAGCATGGTTTTTCTGCAAATAAGTGGTTGCAGGATTTGTACGCTGACAAATTACTTTGGGCAGAGGCATACTTGAAGGATATTTATTTCAGTGGACTCCAATCAACCTCGCGATGTGAGTCATGTAACCATTGGATGAATGGGTATGTGGGAACTCAATTCAGCTTGCAACGTTTTGTTCAGGGCATTGATGAAGCCTTGGAGGGGATGCATTTCACTGAGTTGCAGGATGATTATTATTCTAGACACACGAGGTTGGTCTGCAAGCATGCCCTTCGCACATGGGAAATGCAAGCTGAAAGTATCTACACACATCATACATTTGCTATCTTCAAGTTTGAACTAGAGAAAGAAGCTTCTTATGTGTTAGTGGAGACAAGAACTTAATCAAATGGGAAAAAAAACATTCACTATAAAGAATTGCATGAACCCGAATCGGATAAGGAGGTTAACATTTACTAGACCAATCAACATCTAAAATGTGACTGTGCATTATTTGAATCTAATGTGGTAGTGAAGCTACTTTTAATCATGTCTCTAAGGGGTTGGATGACCTTACTCAATGGGAAATTGAGTTCTCGAGGGAGAGGATGGACACAACCCCTGCAAACCCTCCAGCACCCCTTCCAAGTGTGAAAGACCCAAAAATTGTGAAGACCAAGGGAACATTCAAGTTAGCGCAAAGTGTTTTGGGCAAAAGTTTAAGAAAGTGTTCGAAATGTGGAATATATGAACATTTTCGCCCTAAGTGTCCGAAAAAAAAGTCCCCAAAAAAGAACATAAGATTCTAGTATTGTTGTGTTTTAGGTGTTAATTTATTTTTACTATGATTTTAGTGTTTTATTTTCGCATTTATGTATTTTCAAATTATCTTCACAATATAAGTGTCGGTTGATTGTTGGCTTAAATTTACGGGGACTGAGAAAATGGTCGACCTGATATATGAACAGGTCTACCAAACCCTATCCTCCGATCCCCTTTATTCCCCTATTTAGCAGCCTCCTCCTCTCATTTTCTACCAGAACCTCTTTCTTCTTTCTCTCATTTCCCTTCTTCTTCTTCCACAAAAAAAGGTCACTAGAAGAAGCACCAAAACCTACATTCTATTTCATCCTTTTATGCTAATAAGAAGAATAAGGTGTGTTTCTCATTCGTTCCTATCATTTGGGTTATTTTTCTGTTCGTTCATGGTAGATTAGATTGGTTTTACCAAACCCCAAAGCTGAAAAATGTATTTCTGTATGCGGTACGATAGAAATGGTCGACCGATTCTGGCTGCAATTGGAACATTTGATACGATTTCATTTGAAACCACAAAAATCTGCAGTTTTCTCATCAAAATAGGTCGAACGATGATGAAACGAGGTCGACCTAATGATGTTTGGAAACGTTGATTTATGCAAATGTCGATGTTTCACTTCTGCTTGAACCAAAATAGGTCGACCAATGATGAAAAGAAGTTGACCTATTAATGTTTGGTCTCATTGATTTATGCATGGATTGATGTTTAGCTTCTGCTTGAACCAAAATAGGTCGACCAATGATGAAAAGAGGTCAACCTATTCATGTTTGGACTCGTCGATTTATGCTTGGGTCGATGTTTAGCTTAACAAACAAAGGTCGACCGATGATGAAAAGAGGTCGACCTATTGATGTTTGGACACGTCGATTTTATGCAAATGTCGATGTTTAGCGTCTGCTTGAATCAAAATAGGTCGACCAATGATGAAACATGGCCGGCCTATTGATGTTTGGACTCTTCGATTTATGTTTGGGTCAATGTTTAGATTCTGCTTGAACAAACAAAGGTCGACCAATGATGAAAAGAGGTCGACCTATTGATGTTTGGACTTGTAAATGTCATGCAAATGTCTATGTTTTGCTTCTGCTTGGAATCAAAATAGGTCGACCAATAATGAAAAGAGGTCGACCTATTGATGTTTGGACTCGTTGATTTATGCTTGGGTCGATGTTTAGCTTCTGCTTGAACAAACAATAGGTCAACCGATGATGAAAAGAGGTCGATCTATTGATGTTTGGTCTTGTTGATTTATACAAATGTCGATGTTCTTCTTGAACCAAAATAAGTCGACCAATGATGAAAAGAGGTCGACCTATTGATGTTTGGAAACGTTGATTAAAGCAAATGTCGATGTTTAGCTTCTGCTTGGACCAAAATAGGTCGACCAATGATGAAAAGAGGTCGACCTATTGATGTTTGGTCTCATCGAATCATGCATGGGTCTATGTTAGTCTTTTGCTTGAACAAACAAAGGTCGAACGATGATGAAAAGAGGTCAACCTATTGATGTTTGGTCTCGTTGATTTATACAAATGTCGATGTTCTGCTTCTACTTGAACCAAAATAGGTTGACTAATGATAAAAAGAGGTCGACCTATTGATGTTTGGAAACGTTGATTTAAGAAAATGTCCATGTTTTGCTTATGCTTGAACCAAAATAGGTCGACCAATGATGAAAAGAGGTCGACCTTTTGTTGTTTGGTCTCGTCGATTTATGCATGGGTTAATGTTTAGCTTCTTATTGAACAAAAAAGGTTGACCAATGATGATAAGAGGTCGACCTATTGATGTTTGGTCTCGTCAATTTATGCAAATGTCTACGTTTTGATTCCACTTGGAAACAAAGGTCGACCTACTTTCGTTCATGTCGACCGATAATGTTTGGTTTCGTGATATTTGCAAATTGGACTAAGAACTGTTTGGTTTTTTCTTGTGCTTGCAAACAAAGGCCAACCTAAGTTGGTTGAGGTCGACCTATTGATTTTCTAGTTTTTTTCCTATGCATGCAGTGTATAGGTCGATCGAGTCTGGTTGGTTTCGTCATTTGGCTAACGTGAATTGTCGCTTGTTTGATCTCAGGATGATTAGAGAATAAACGAAAAGAAATTTAGAAAAACCGGCTGCCTCAAGTTCCGAATGGGAAGATTTCAACCCTACTATGTTCCAGACCAAGGAGTAAAGTGAGAAACATGAAGAGAGGAGAATGCACAACCGCAAGGTGGCTCCTGGAAGGCCGTTGAAGAACGATGTGTATTCTCATTTCGAAGATTACGGGTTCCTTGCACAATTTGTGGCGCAAGATTGGTTGAAGGTGATATCTCTCAATGTACCATACTACCCAAAAATGGTACAATACTTCTACAACAACGTCGTCTATCAACCTAATGTGAATGGGTTGGAGATGCGTATCACCAAGAATGTGTTGGTAGAAGTATTAGAGACTCCAAAATAGGGGAAGAGAATCAATTCTTACAATGCTTGGAATGAAACTTATTTCTCGAGAACCAAGCAAATTCAGACTGTATGTGGTCTTGCTGAAGAGGAAGATAATCAGGATCGCAGTAGGCCAACGATTTGCCAACTGATAGTTCAAGCCAGAGTTCTTCACCACATGCTGTCATACAACATTATGCCAAAGGGTGGACATCGGGAGGGAGTCACCTACTTCGACATGGAGCTCCTCACCAACCTACTTTCAAATGAGAAGGTGAACTTGCCATACTTGATCTTGAAACACATGCTAGTTGTTGTAGAGAGTTCAACCAAGAATCTCCCCTATGAGATGTCATGACTTTGCTATTTGAGCATTTTGGCATGGATTTAAGTGGTGAGTTTGGCTTCAGAATCACAAGGCAGGAGTTGTATACAGTTTCATCCTTGAAGAATATGGGATTTGAGCTGCATTATGGTGAGTATGTTCGAGCATACAATCCGCATGTAGTCCATGGTGATGATGATGATGATGAGGATGCTGCTGCTGCTGATGATGATGAGCCCGGAGACGAGCCAATGGCGCAACCACAGAGTTCAACTCCACCTGTCACCTGAGAGCGTATATGGGAAGAGCGCATGGATGGCATGTACGACTACATGGGGAAGATGAGCACCCAGATGAGCACACTGCAGGTGACTGTAATAGACCTGCGAGATGAGTTCCGATCTTTTAGTGGAAGATACACGCATCCCACCACATCTGACTACCATGATGCTAGCACCACCAATGAGGAAAATTCGGATGAGTGAGGGAGAGGGGTAGGAACTCGACGATTTAAGATTGTATGCTTTTGTTGGTAAGTCTTAAAGACGATTGTGGATCAATATTATGTGGTTTTCGATTTTAGGTATGTATGAACAATTATGAGGTGTGTTTTATTGTATTTCTTGTTAGTGTGTTAAGTTGTTATGTTATGAAGTTATGAGTCCTTGCTATCATAATTTACAACTGATTCTGTTGGTTAGAAATGAAATTTATACGAGCAAATGAGCTAGTCACATCGACATACGTAAGCAAAAAAGACATAGGTCATAGCCTGGTTTTCTTGTATTCAGTCGACCTCGAAACCAACACTCTTGATCTTCATTTTACTTCAAAAGGGGATGGATAAATGGCTAGAACACTTTACTTTTCTATCTGGTCGACCTCTTTTTGTACATGGTCGACCATTTTGGTAATGACCGCCATCAAGTGATTGACCTACTTACCTTTATGGTCCACCATTTTGCTTCTCACTCCAATCGGCGCTACTGTGGTCGACCGATAATGTCTCAACTTAACTGAAAACGGTCGATCACTACATTTTAAGGTCGACCGTGATAAGTCATCAGAATGCTCATATTTGTGTATCCGGTCGACCTCAGTTGGGAATAGATCGACCAAAAAGTGCAAGTTACGGTGACTTGCAAGGCACCATATATAGGCGCAAAGTCATGTTAAATTGGCCAGCACAGGTTTTTCACAATAGATGTGTACGATCTTAGTTAACCGCAACAACGTGATATTTGGTTGTGGTCAAACCATTAAACTAATCGATAATTGATGGCTAAAAATTATGTCATTAATTGATTATAAGTTCACGGAGTGGTTAATTGTACGCTGATTTGGGCATAATTACACGTATTTTACACTTCGCTTCTTGATTATTTGACTTATTAATCGTCGTCTCTCGACCTATTTTACGCTAGGTTGTGATTCTTTTGTTATATTTCAGGATCTAGTACGTGTGGGAAGGTTGAGCACGAGTTTCATGACGATTGAAGGTCGAAAAGGGCCAAAAAGTGAATAAGAGGTAAATGTCACAATTTGTACGTAAGGACAGGTCATCGGGGCCGTTAAAATTTCAAGACCACAGTGACAATTTCAAAGATCCAAAAGAGTTTTCACATCTCGTGGGCAAATTCATTGTCACTATCATCTGACTATGATCTTCACCAGCGATCCTTTAAGATGGGCTAAAATGGTAGCAAACAATAGTGTTTTCGGCCGAGATGACAACTTTCCTTTCGAGATCACGTCCGTGATCTTCAGCCCTTGATAATGGCTCTCGGATTGGAGATGACAGATTTGGAGAAGAACTTGGTTCGTTCTCGAGGATTTCGACCCAAAACACCAAAGAGGAGTCTTTAGAGAGAGAGAGAGAGAGAGAGAGAGAGAGAGATATTGGAGCTTAATTGGGGGGTTGGGTTGATCTTGGAGTTAAGGCCTAGAAGATGAAGATCTTGAGCTATTTCTGTAATCTAACTTCTCTCTCTATGAACTACACTTCTTTCTCTTGGTTGAAGAACCCTAAGTCTAGATTTTGATTTGTAGTTGATGTATGTGATGAACCTTTAGTTTAATGAGCACTACCCAACCATTGCTACTCCATTTTTGGTCAATCCCTAAGGGATTCAATCTCTTATGGGTAGAGGAATTGAGTAGATCGGACTAGGATGGTATGTAACATCGGTCCGAATGATGAAATTAGAGGGATTCAAGCTAAGAGAGCTCCAAACTTGAAATTAAGTAGTGTAGTGTAGTTAGGTTAGTTAGCTTAATCACTATTGTAGGTTTTCTAGATAACAAAATTGAAGGCGAAGTAAGGTACACTTAGAGACTCGTGGTTGAAAAATTTTATTGCTTACTTACCCTATGCTACACTCGGTCGTCAGTTATGTTTGGTCACCTAATGGGATGTGTACTTGGAGTCGAGCCAAGTTTTTGGCGCCATTTTCAGGGAACATTCTAGGTTATCAAAAAAAGGCTTAGGTCGTTACTTTAGTCATTTTGTTTTTTGTTTCGTTTGTTTTGTGTTAACCCACTCTTCATCTTGAAGGGGGGGGGGGGGGGGGTTTGTGTTTGTTAGATTTTATTTTTCATATTGTTTGTGTAGGTTGAATCATGGATCCCAATGGCTTCTACAACATGTGGAGGTATCCAAAACCACCAAAATGGGGGTACCCCAGAGCTCATGCAGTGATCAAGAGGGTGGAAGCCAAGGAACTAAGTTCTATGATCAAACTCTCTTCCAAAAAGATCAAACATACTCATGGGGATAATAAGGAGCTTCCCTATACCAAGAAAACTTCCCTCCAAAAACCGAGGAGAAATCCAAGTTGGAGTTGGCAATAGAGGCTTTCATGGGGCATTCCTCATGCCCATGTGCTAGTCCACAACTTGGAGCTCATGGTGAAACGGTTTTCCTGAGGCACCGATGAAGGGTGCTCAAACTTGGATCTCCCACAACCCGAAGAGAAGTCCAAATTAGAGCTTGCCATGGATAGTTTTAAAAGAGCATGTTTCAACATAGATTTCCAACCCCTCCCTCCTCCCGTTTTGACATTACAAGAGAAGGTAGCATGAGCTTATGCAAGCTATCACCTCTCATACTTGGAGTAGAAAGATGAGGTTTAAAGAGAGATCAATGACAACCGTGTGGAGCAAGAGGAACTCACCCTGGAGAGCTCCCGTGGTGAGAATGACCAAGAGGGTTGCATTGATGATGTTCACACGTTTACACTTCCCGAGAACAACTTTGAAGACTAAGTCACGGGGGTAAAGGAGCTAGAGAACCCTTCAATGATCTTGCATGGCATATTTCCCTCCAAACTGTCCTTGATGACAAGAATGGGAAGGAGAAAGCAGAGGTTGAAGAGGAGGAAGTGAGTATTCAAGAAGAGGAAGATATTGATTGTTCCCAAGGAAAAGAACAAAGTGAGGAAGAAAGAAGGGAGGTTGAGATTGAAGATGCAAGTGGTGTCCAAGATGAGGACGAGGTCGTGGTGGATGAAATTGATAACTTCATATTTGCATATGTTTGCACCCTTATATCTTAACCATTTTGGATCGATTTTGTTGCTCCTTGGCCTATTTTAGGCTTGGTTGTGTTATTTTGTAATATCTCAGGTCCTAGCGGGTGTACAAAAGCTTAGGCGCATGTTTCGGATCGTTTGGAGATCATTTGGCGATTCTAGAATGAAATACGGGCAGGCAAGGAGAAAAGCACGACCGTACTTTTCATCATCTTGCTAGTGCTTTTACTGACGAGAGCCAACCATGAAGTGTGCTAAAGAAAGCCAAAGAACAACTGTGCTTAGTTAAACACCGCCAGTATTTCACCCAGACTTGCCCGTGTTTCTCCCGTTTTGCACTAAGTGAAACACACGTTTTGGGCAAAGAACGGTCAAGGGAGTAAGCACGACTGTGCTTCTACCCGTAATTCGCCCAGAATCGGGTTGAAAGAGGAAGATTCAATCCAAAGGAATGGGATTGGACTTTTTGGATCCAAAACAGAGTTCTAGAGAGAGAAAGTGCGAAGAACAAACCCTAGTAGCTATTTGGAGTGGATTTCTCACCATTGAAGCCCAGATTGCATCCCCAAGAGTGAACATTGAAATCCTAGAGCATATTGTTCCCATCTTTATGAGTATGACTGCTTTGATTTTTGTTTTCCTCTCTCTCCTTCTTTATGGAGTAAACCTTTCTCTCACTTGGGTATGAAGAACCCTTATTCCATGTGTTAGGGATCTTGATTGTAATGAATTTTAGATTGATATACTGTTTGATTATAATCGATTGAAGTGTGTTTATGGAGTCAATTGGATCCTGATCAACTTCTTTTGATTTCTGATGCAACCTGAGATAGATAGAATCTGATTAGGTTGTTAGAGCTTCTTTAACCGATATGAGTGAATTGATTATACAAGAGTTAGTCAATTCACTTCTTTGTACTGGAATCTAGTTCCATTAGTGGAGTTCTGTGTTAATTGCCTTATCTTTCTATGTTAATTGCCTTAGCTTTCTTAGTCTGTCTAAGAGGGCTTGGTCAGCTTAAGAGATTCCAAGCTACTGTCGGATCTTCCGCAGTTTAATCAACGATATATCAACCTAAAGAAATTACAACTTGTACCTAACTAAGAAAATAGGGGTCGTTCCCGAGTGACTCTTCTCTTGCTTCAGGAAACCGGACAATTTACTACTTTCCCACTAGATAATAGATAATCACGGAGTAGGCAGTACATCTAGGCCTTGGGTTGACATTTATTACTTGATTCCACTATACTGCATTTCCATACTGCGAAGAAAGCTTTGGAGCAACTGCACATCACCGAGGAAGAAGAAATGGATGACCCACAAAACAATGATGCGGTCATTCCCGAGGAGCATACCTTAGGCTAATACTGGACCGCCCGAGCCGCAGACATGAGGTCCCCCATCCAACACCCTCAAGTTTCTGCCAACAACTTTGAGGTGAGTACATCTATCATCACCATGCTGCGCGGCTCGGTGGTATTCAATGGGAAGGACGGGAAGTGCCCCGGATCGCACCTACGACAATTCCACGAGCTGATCAATGCAATCAAGAATAATGGGGTCCCTGCAGACGCCATCTAGCTGAGGTACTTCACATTTACATTGGAGGGGCAGGCCAAGGAGTGGCTGGATACCCGGCCTCCGAGATCGATCAGTACATTCGCCATCCTGGCCGACAAGTTCCTCACCCACTATCATCCTCCATCTAAGATAGCGGACATGTAGAAGGAGATCACTCAATTTGCACAAGAAGAAGATGAGACCATCTGGGATGCGTGAGAAAGATACGCCAGTCTATTCCTGAAAGGCCCCAATCATGGTTCAACGACGCTTTCAAGGTGGGCACCTTACCGAGCTCTCTTCCCTGAATATAAGCAACATATTGGCTCAGTATGTGGCGGGAACATGTTGACAAAGACGCCACCGCAGTTAAATCAGCTCTTTCAGGAGATGGCGGAGAAGGGATATGATTGGGGACAACTAGGAGGTGTAGGCAAGCACCTGGACGGGGTGTGCATGCTGTGGATACCCAGTCATCTGAGTTGGTGCAGGTTGTGTCCAAGCTGGTCTCAGCCATCGATCGGAACGGGATGGTTCTAGGTATAGGGCAACAACAGGTGATGTATTGCCAGTTGTGTGAGAGAACCAATCACATGATGGAGGACTGCCAAGCCATGCGAGAGTATAGCACACCGTAGTAGCAGCTGAATTTCATTAATAATGCTCGGCACAACGACCCCTATAGTAGTACATACATCGAGGGGTGGCGCCAGCATCCAAATTTCTCCTGGAGTGGAAACAACAATCCCAAGCCATCGGGCTTCCAGGCTACTGCAACTGGTTTTCAAAACTAGAGACAGCCATACCAGTCCCGCCTAGACCAGATGCAGCAGCATCATCCATTTTATCAGCCCAAACAAGGACAGACTTTTCAACAACCCCCACAGCAGCAGCTGTACCAGCAGCTTGGTACATCTCCATCAGCTTTTAGGGATCTAGTGATCACATTGGCCAGCACCAGTACCCAAAATTTTAGTAAACTGGAGCAATTCATGGAAGTGACTGCGGGAAAATTCATGGAGATCGAAGCTAGCCAGAGGAACCAGCAGGCACTGCTGCAGGATATTGACACCAAAATAGGGCACCTGGCAGATGCCCTTACTTCCAGACCGGCTGGCGCACTTCATGGCCAACTCTTGCCAATCCCAGAAATCATAAGGAGGGGTTACACGCCATCATGCTGAGAAGTGGGACCGTGACTAAGGATGCACCCCCGAAGAGTGCAAAGAAGGTAAAGCAGATCACCTTGGAGTCGAAAGAGTACCTGGTAATGGGAAAGGAGCCAGAGATTCGAGCCCCATAGCCCTAGCCAGTAGTGGATGAATATAAGCCCAAGCTCCTTTTTCCCACCAGGATGCATAAATACCGGCTAGAGGCAGAGTTTGGAAACTTCATGTCTATGATTAGGAAGCTGAATGTTCAAGTGCCCTTCTTGGAGGCTGACTCACTCCTACTGTCACTCTAGAATGGCCAAGTGAAACCACTTCCTAAAGCGTAGTATAGCGGGTTTGGGTTTTAATGTCAACCCGGGTCCTAGATTTGATGACTACTCGGTGAATTCTTGTTATCTAGCAATGAAACTTTAATGCAAGTCTAAACTAACAAACAAGCAAAGCAACTAAACGGTTGTTTTCAGGTTAAGAGAGGTCACCCGGATATGGTTCGCCCTAGACTGCAGTTAAGCCGGATTGCAATTACCAAGTTCAATTTCTATGATAGTTATACTGCGGAAGGTTCTTAAGCAGTCTGAAGTCTCGACTAAAGGTCTCCAGACCCTCTCAATCTGAGTCTCTAGCGGGCGACTAACCTCCACCGGAGTAAACAGATTGAGGCCCTAACAAACAAAACCTCCACTACCGAAGTGAATTCGGTACAGAATAGTGAGTTGACTCCTCGACTAAAGTAGAAATAACCAAGGATGCTCTATCAACCTAGGCAGATATTCTCATTCTAGGTTAAAGTAGAAATAACAGGAATTTGATCAGGATTCAAGTCATTCAATCATTCAAACCTCAATTGAATATAATCAAATCATAGAATCAATACTTGGGTTCATACAATCAAACCTAACATACAAATCTAGGGTTTCCCATACCTAGATGAATGGGAGAACTACTCCATGGAGAAAGAAGCAAAAGCATATTCAGACGCGGAAATCATACTGTGAAGGATGGATTTCTGCTCCTGGACGTTGATCGGCACTTCTCCAAGCTCAAGCCAAGCTCCAATGGTGATGAAGATCAAGCTAGGGCACTTGGGAACTCTTGTTCGTCGCTTTCTCTCTCTAGGAATCGCTCTGTCTCTCTAAAACTTGAATCCCCTTCTGTTTTGGCTGAAATCTGCCTAAAAGGGCATCACTGGGCAAAACACGGTCGAGGGCACGGATGTGTTCTGCTCCAGCCCGCCCGTGCCCTTGCCAAGTGTTAAATATACGGCCAGACTTATGGGGAAAACACGGGCGTGCTTTTGGTGGACACGGTCGTGTTCTGTCTCAGTCCTGCCCGTGTTTTGAGCTAGTGTTTGACAGACTCAGATCAAGTCTCGGCAGTAAAAACACGGTCTAAGGAACACGACCGTGCTTTGATTTAGGTGTGCCCGTGTTTTGGCTCCAGCTCGACCGAATGACTTCCGAATGTCCCGAAACTCGTGCTTAGCCTTTCCTTCACCGTCTGGGACCTGAAATATGACAAAGTAGCACAACCCGGCGTAAAATAGGCCAAAAATACACGACTATGCCCCTCAAACGGATAAGAACTAGGGGTGCGAATATGTGCAATTACATCGTTATCAAATTCCCCCACACTTAACCGTTTGCTTGTCCCCAAGCAAACCAAGTCACACACAAGGTAAGCTCAAAACGTTTCAATCCAGCATGCTTTAGGGCATATCATATCGGCACAAAACACGTGGATCATACTGGCTTTCGATCATTAACACATGGACAACCTCAATGACAACCTAGACAACCACCACAAATGACATTCGCATGCAATAAAATCGAGCAAAGGAGGAGTCTCCCTTCTGTTCACCAACCAACATAGACTTGACTCAACCACATATTCGAGACAGTCACTTCATGCACAAAGCTCAAGATATCAGAATTAAGACCGAGCAATCTAGGTCCTCACCGGGATAAAGAGTATAGAGAATATGAGAAAATGAATCGCTCACTCTCGACCAGTGGGGTCAGGACAATTTGATGCGAAAAATGCGCATGCTCAATCTCTCAATTCCTAACGTCTCTTCACCATGAATGCAGCCTCTAAGTGCTAGAGTTCACATATGGGGTGTCACCACTAACTAATCCGGAGGTCTTAGACACAGGTTCAGATGACTGGCTAGGGTCTTGGACATGGGGAAAAGGCCTTTTAGGTGGTGGAAGTATTCATACAGCACAAGATTCCACCTTTCCAAACCCAACAAACTCACAGTCAATCAAACCAATAACTTTCTTTCTGCTATTCTGCATTACTCAAATTCTTCAGAGCACAAGAGCGAAAGAGGTTACATAAATGCTAGTATTTCTAAGCCAGACTGCTAAGAAACACTACTTAATGGGCACTATTAAGATTTTTGGTGGTGGCCCTCTTTTGCTTTCATTTTTTTCTTTGTTTTTCTTTCTTTTTTTGTTCATTTCTTAAAAGAACCACCACCTCTGCACATTTTCAAACACCTGCCCAACTTTTAAGCACTACCTCCAACCCTCACATTACGTTTAGTAGAAACAGCAGAGAACATGTAAAAATCACTCTGTGGAACCTTCTAAAAGATGCAAAAGGGTGACTTTTCATTGAAGACCGAAAGAAAGGAAAACACACGGCTCAAAGGGCTGACTAGGGGGTATGACACACCAGGACAGTCAATTTGGTCGTGGGCTAATCCTATGCCTCCATCATCCTAGCTAATGACGACGTGAATGCTGCATATCATGGAAGAGGGAACTATCACACAAGAAAGAAACGAGCAGGCTCAAGTATCACATGGCTACCTATATGCTCTATCTCTCGTTCTGATTCCCTGAAACAGTTGAAAAACTGAACCCCTACACAGTTCTACTGCACATCTCAGTCATCATAATAAGTTGTCTAAGTCACAATCCAAGTTGTCATGCATCAAGTCAAAAACCATTCAATTCACTAATCACATCCACAGTGCCAATACGATCAAACATCAGGCAAACGGCAGTGCTTGGAGCCCTCAAATCTCGAGATTTGGACAGTGGACTAGGCTCCTAGCACGCATATATACGTTCCAATTCATACAAACAACCCCCCCCCCCCCCCCCCACACTTAAATGTGACAATGTCCTCAAAGGAGCAGAGGGAAGGGGAACGATGTTACCGTGAAAGGAGAACAGGAACGGGGACTGGAAGGCAGACCAGTCCAGAGAAGGAGGCACAGAGCTAAAGACAACAAAAAGCACACACTGGGTGAAAGAACCGGAGTTCCAGGTCTACAATCCAAGATAAAAAAAAACAACAAAAACAGGGAGTCTCAGTCTGGAACACAAATGAGGTACAGAATCAGCCTCTCGCCACTAGAAAGCATCACCACCATCGCCGGTGGGTGGAGGGTACTCATCCTCAAACCCCGGGGACTGCACGAACGGATAGTGGACTACATTCGGGTCCAAGCCCAGGTAAGACGTGATGTAGTGCTGGCCTGACATGAGACGACGCCCTCGGTCCCGCTCACGATCGATGCGGGTGTGAATGCGCTCCTGGCCGGCCAGGATGCGCTCGTTCTGCTGAGCGATGGCCGCCAACTGGTCAGAAATGGGCACCACCACTGGCGGAGGAGACCCGGGAGTCGGAGATCTGGGAGCAGGGGACCGGGGAGCAGCTGAGGGGCTCGCGGGAGCCTGGTAGCGACGAACATTGCGACGGGGAACCCGGCGTCCCCCAGCTGCGCTCGACTCTGGCTGGTCGCCCGCTGCAGGTAGAGGGGGCTGAGGAAGGCCCGCGATCCAATGCACACGCCCGTGGTGAGCAACCATGTGCTGGTGGCGGAGGGTGGACTCGCTGAGTGGGGTTGGCCCGCGGACCAAGGTCATCCCAGTGTAGTCGACCCCGTAGTAGCGGGCCAAGGCGGTGATCACCGGGCCACATACAAGGTTGCGACTCAGGCTAGCTGCGGCTTTGGTGAACGTCCGGGCGAGCACAGAGCCCAGCTAGATGGTGTCCTCAGAACGACCCATCACATGCATGAACCAGAGTGTCCGGAGTGTGACCCGGTTGGACGAGCCTTTGCTGGGTGTGTAGGACCGGGTGAGCAAGTGGTTGAGGATCCGCCACTCCGGACGGAGGAGAGAGGCCCGCGTCTGGCTGGCAACGTACTGTTCATCCACGTTTTTTGGCAGGCAAATTCGCTGGAAGTAAGCCTGGGAAGCGAAGTCGGTGGGATCAGAGTGGTCCAAGCGTAGGGGCCGGTCGCTGGAGTGCGGGGAGTTGAGCCTAAGTGCATTGGCGAACTCCCAATAGCTGAGGGAGTGCTCCACCATAGGGGCGATTGGTGGGATCAGTGTGCATTGAACCGCATCAGCATGGTCGGCGGACCCCTTCGAGGCATGGTGGAAGGAGGCATAGAACTCCCAGAAGAGCTCCTGGTAGGTCGGCTCGGCCAGGGTAAGAAGACGCCGCCAACCATAGGGGCGAACCACGGCCTCCATCTGCGTCCTGCGATGAAGCGCCTCGAACACCTCAAAATCGAGGTGCAGGTGCTCGGCGATGGTGCGCTTACGGAGGTTCCGCAGCAGATGGCGCTGGGTGATGCTCAGCTGGTCGAGGTAGACTTTCATGATCCTGCAAAGCACAAGGAAGTACAAATGGTACACTAGCGAACAGGGTCAAGGTTAGGCCAATAACCACACCGGGAGCCCTCATATCGAAAGATATGGACAGTGGACTAGACTCCCGGCGAAACAAGCATACCCATCACACGAGAATTACACAGCAAAATACACCGGGGACCCTCAAATCGAGCGATTCGGACAATGGACTAGGCCCCCGGTGAAACAAGCATACCAAAACCGTACTAAATAAGCACCAATCGATCCACCACACAAAAACCACCCAAGGCCGCATACAATGCAACATGCAAATGGTAGGCCGAATAACTGAAATCCCGAGACAAAAATAGAACAAGCACAGAGCGTCATCGGCCTACCCAATCATCCTCAAATCATGCCACAATCACAAGTTCTTCACCTAACTCTAGGTATCGATTCTCCAGAAATAAAAGAAAAGACCAGGAGAACACACCTGGAGACGCAAGGAGAGACCACGAGAGAGGTGAAGAAAGTGGAAGAAAACACCCTAAGTCGCCGGAAAACACCGGAAACTCGCCGGAGAACTCGCCGCCGGCGACCCAACCTCGGCCAAACGAGCCCAAATCTTTGGGGAATGTGCTCCTCGACGCCAGGAGCGTGGGGGCTTTCGCGGTTTGTGATTTGGAGGTCGGGAGAGGGAGTTATGGCCGGAAAATCCAAAGAGAAGAGGAAGAGGCCGAGTTTCCGGCGACTGAGGCGGCTGGATTTTTGAAAAAAAATGATTCTGGTGGGTTTTGGGGCTGAAAATTGACTTTTATAGGGGGGAGGCAAAACACGGGCGGGCTGGAACACGGCCGTGTTCGGCCTGTTCCGCGCCCGTGTTTTTACTGCAGAGGCCGTGTTCAGCACCTTTGAAAACACGGGCGGGCTGGGACCAAAACACGGCCGTGTTTTGGAAGCCCAGCGCCAGTGTTTTTACTGCGGCGAGCAGTGCAGGCCGAATTCCAAAATACGGGCAGGCAGGGGGCAAAACACGGCCGTGTTTTCGTCCCCTGGCGCCCGTGCTTTTAGTGCCGAGCCCAAACTGCCTTTTTTCAAAATTCCAATTTCAAACCACCAAGACTCATTCGTGCCCCGGCTCTAAAATTTACCCAATCACACATTAAAAAGAACCGCCCGAGGCACGAAAAACTTTCCAGACAGACTCCAGACATACTCAAAGACTCAAAAACCGACAAAAAAATGAAATAAATAAAAAAACAAAGGGTAGAAATGCAAACCGTGGTGGGGTTGCCTCCCCATAAGCGCTTCTTTACCGTCTTTTAGCTGGACGTCCATGGTGGAACTAAGGGTCCGCGAAGTCCACTGCCAACTCCGCACGTTCGACCTCGCCTCCCAAGTAGAGTTTGAGACGATGGCCATTCACTTTAAATGGTTCAGTCTGCGGGTTGGCAATCTTGATCGTGCCATACGGGAACACCTGTGTGACCGTGTACGGTCCAGACCACCGGGAACGGAGTTTTCCGGGAAAGAGCTTCAGGCAAGAGTTATAAAGGAGAACTCGATCACCAACCTGGAACTCTTTCGGACCCCGCAACCGTGCATCGTGCAGGCGCTTAGTGCGCTCCTTGTACAGCTTGGTGTTCTCATAGGCGTGATAACGCCACTCCTCCAGCTCCAGCATCTGCAGTTTGCGCTCAACACCTGCAACACTAACATCCAAGTTTAGCAGCTTAAGGGCCCAGAAGGCCTTGTGCTCTAGCTCGACGGGAAAATGGCATGCCTTTCCATAGACAAGCCGGTACGGTGAGGTACCAATGGGCGTCTTGTAGGCAGTGCGGTATGCCCATAGAGCATCATCGAGCTTGGTGGACCAATCCTTGCGGGATAGATTCACCGTCTTCTCCAGGATACGCTTGAGCTCCCGGTTTGTCAGCTCGGCCTGGCCACTTGTTTGAGGGTGGTAGGCCACGGACACTTATGAGTTACACCATAGCGAGACAACAACTTATCGAACTGGCCCTGGAAATGGGTGCCCGGTCGCTTATGATGGCTCTAGGTGTCCCGAACTGGGAGAATAACTGCTTCAGAAAACCACAAACACGTCTAGCATCATTAGTGGGCAAAGCTTGCGCCTCAACCCACCTAGAGACGCAGTCAACAGCAACAAGGATATAGGTATTGCCAAAAGAGGGAGGGAAGGGGCCCATGAATTCGATACCCCAGACATCAAAAATCTCACAAGTTATAAACACATTCTGGGGCATCTCATCACGGACAGAGATGTTACCTGACCTCTGGCATCGGTCGCACCTGCGTGCGAAGGCGTCTGCGTCCTTGAAGAGCGTGGGCCAGTAAAAGCCCGATTGGAGCACCTTCCTCGC